GCGCGCACGTCTTGATACACGCCGGTGCCCCACCGGGGGGGGGGGGGGGGGGGGGGGGGGGGGGGGGCGCCCCCCCCGGGGGTGTCCCCCCCCCGGGGGCCCAGGCGCCCCCCCCCCCCCCCTTTGGCTGCCCCCCTTGCCCCCCGGCCCTGTTAGGGCCCCCCCCCCCCCCCCGCCGCCCCTCGTGTGGGGCACGTTGCTCGGCCCGTGCGAGATCTATCCACCACACCGGGGGCCGTGGAGCGGCACCGGCACCGGCGCCGTGTTGGGGTCTTTTTCCGCGCCCCAGGCCGCCCCACCACACGACCCGGAAGGAGGACACTCCACTTCTCCCTCCCCCTTTCTGTTCGCTTTTTTTTTTTTCTTCTCTACTTGGTTCCTTTTCTATACTTGTCTTCCTCGCTTTCTCGGCTTTTTTCTTTCCCTACTTTCCTCCTTTTTCACCCTAGCGGATTTCGCTCCGCCCCTTTTCCCTTTCCCCGCCTCGTTCGCCGTCGCCGCCGCCCCCCTCTCCCTGCCCCCCGCGCGCGCGCGCGCGACCGGATCTCCCCGATAGACTGAGACATCCCTCACGGCGGCGGGAAGGACACCCCCTCCTCCCTCCCCCCCCCCCCCCCCCCCCCCCCCCCCCCCCCGCGCCCCGCATGTCCTCCGGGGGCGCCATCCGCTGTCGGGGCTGGCCGGCGCCGGGGGCCGGGCCATTGGCAGCCTGCCGGCCCGGCGCATGCCCAGGGGGTTAGCCCACCCGCCGGCCAAGGCGCCGGGGGTGCCACTGCCGGCGCCATCGCCCCCGTCGCTGGCATGTGTCACCTGGCGGCTGTACAGCACCATGGTGTCCCGCCCGGTGCCCTCGGCTGCCAATGCCCCGGGCACCACCCCCGCGGCCCTGGCCAATCTCTTTGCCCCGGCGGCACCACCACCCGCTGACGCCCCCTTCGACGCCCTGCTCCAGGCTCCCGGCCGGCCATTGGACGCCATCCCCCTGGCTGCCGGCTCGACCGAGCGTCTCCTGTGCGTGTCCATCCCCCCGGTCCCGGGGCGTCCTTCCGCCGCCGTGCCGGTCCCTCCTCACCTGTTTGCCTGCCGCCGCCGTCGTCTGCCGCTTGTCGCCGTCGCCTGCCGCCTGTCGCCGTCGCCTGGCCCGCGCCGTCGCTTACCCTTCGCCCCTGTCCCCCACCCGCGCCCCCCCTCGCCTCCTTTTGGCCAGGTCCTTCGCCGAACTGTGCACCCGGACCCCGGCTGCCGCGGAGATGGCAGACATCGCCCTCCCGGCCCAGCAGGCCACCCTCAATCGCATCGCCCTGTATGCCTGCACATATGCCCACACGCGCGCACAAGC